GCTCTCAACTTTCAGCTAACAAAGAAAGACTTGGGTAACGCCCTTATTCTCTCGCTCTTTTAAAAAAAAAAAGGACTTGTATACCACTTTGGGTTTTATATTTGCCTTTTGATTGCATCTACTGTCTAGGGACCTCACACAGTGGATCTATTTAGACATATCCTGTTCACAACCACATTTTGTGGTTGTTGCAACCACAGGGTTTCTTTTCTTTTAAATTAAAATTCCTAATGGATTTTTTTATTAACGCTCATGAAATTATTTTTAGAAAAAAAAGAAAGGAAATTATTTTTAGATTTTATTAAATCATTCTGCTCATGATTTTAAATGCTACTTAATTGTTTAATGTTACTTTAACTTATCTTTATATTTTTTATAATACTTTATTAAATTATTTTGAAGCATTATCAAATTGAATTTATTTTTCCACGCTAGTTTCTGGTGAGTGCGTTTGGGAAGAATACAGACAAAAATCAGGATTCTCTGCTTTTCTTGGAAAGCAAGAAAAGCAGGCGATTTTCTTGGCATCGGCAGCTCCCCTCTCTAGGCCACCCTGGGCCCCAACTGCTACTGCTGAGCTTCAGCTTGGCTTTTGTAGGCTTCTGAGTTGAACTTACTTATGGAGAAGATTCCAGAGACCAGGCAGTGCCCTGGTGAAACACTTGTCTGCCTTGCAGACGAACCATGTGGCTATCCATATGCCTTTGTAACAGTTACAGTCTTGGAAACCCCATGGGGTAGTTCTTCTCAGCCCGCTCGAGGGTCTCTGTAGAGTCAGAATTGACTCACTGGGGAATGGAGAAGATTAAAGTATTTTCCAGAAAATATCCACCTGATTCCAGGCCTATCCGGGAGAAGCTTTGAAATCTAAATGTTGCTGTTTTGAAGCAAGCTGCTCATGTCCAACCTGGGCTGCAGATGTCGATGGTGATGGGGCTTCATTCCAGCCTCCCCTTCGATGCACTGCCTTCTTGTCCCACACCTCTCTCCTATTCAGTTCTCTCTCTGCTGAGGGTCTACTTTGGGGGTCACCCTAATGACCACTCTTGAGCTCTTCCTTCAGGTAGTCACTTCTATGTCTGGAGGGGAAGGCATTTCTCTTCATTGTACTCTCCTCTCCCTACCCAAGAGTTAGCACAGGCCTTTGCATATGTTAGATGTTTCACAAATGGGGAAATGATAAGGAACGTGAAACTGGGACTCATCCGTGACATAGTTTGGGATGATGATGATGGGTTGAAAGATCATCTTGAAAGATGCAAAGAATGTAACAATGATGAGAAATACAATCTTCCTCTAGTTCCTAAAGGTTTCCTCCCCGCTCCCACTACCATGACTCGAATTCTATCTTGCAAGACTGGCT